CTTGTTTACATTATTGGTGAAGCAGACGAAGTACCTCCACCCTTGCCATGACTAAGCTTCTCCTCTTGTCATGTCAGCAGGATGTCTACAGAGGTTATTGTGGTTGGTAGTTACCTCTTTCTTATAAATGCTAGGTTTGTTCACAAAAGGTGTGACAGAGTTAGTTTGCAAACTTGTGAAAAAAATGTATTTCTATTTTCTTAATTAAAAACTTGTGAAATCTGTGTCTGGTCTAGGGGATGGAATAGAGAGCATTTGTCATGTGAACCTCCAACACCCCCAACCCCCTCCAGCTGGGTATAAAGTTCAAAAGTCTTCCAAAATCTTTGTTCAGGGGAAGAATTCTTAGACAAGAGCCACCTCTGAATCCTGTGGTCAATAAACCTGATTCCTGAAAATTCTTCAGTTGTCCAGCTTCTTCTGTCCCACTTCATCAGAACTAAAATAAAAGGCAAAAAAACATCATTTTATTCAACCTCACCTAGGGAAACTCAAATTTTGTGTTATTCTACGGATGACCAAGAGTGACCACAGATAACTCTGAATATTCATTTTGAGGTTACTAATAAACCTAAGTGAAGGTTTGAGTTCACAATTACATAATTTGTGAATAATAACAAATGTTTGTATTTGAAAGCTCTATTTTCTAGTGCATACCTGTTTATGTTTGTTATATATAATCTATTGAAAGGATCATTTTATCATTCTAGGTTGTTACTTGTCAACTTTTATCATGCTTTCTTACCTTATAATCTACTTTTCTCAATACTAATATAACCATATCAACTTTCTTTTGGCAAATGATTAAATGACAGTTTTTAACATAATACCTTTATTTTGTTTGTTTATTTTTATGTGGTGTTGAGGACCGAACCCAGGGCCTCACACATGCTAGGCAAGCACTCTACCGCTGAGCCACAGCCTCAGCACCCTATTTCTTTTTATATAAAATGTTATCTTTGTTGTTGCTTTTGTGCTGATGATTTTTCCTTAAATCAGATATTTTGGTGTAGAGATTGGCAAATTTTCCTATAAATTATCAGGTAGTAAATATTTTCACTATCAACATTTGCAAGTCTCTGATGGTATTTTACATCTTCTGACTATAAAAAATAATTTAAAATGCCAAAATATTGCTAACATTGGTAGTTCATGTTTATGACTTAAAAATATATACACATGAATTATTATGTTTTTACTAATTGAGTAACTTCAAAGAATGAGATCATATCAAATTCAGAATAGACTTTGTTTATAGTCATTTTAACCTCTTTATAGTAAACATAATAAGAATCATTTTTATGAGTATTTTCTATATCTGTTTCTAATTCTGGACCTTACAGATGAAACAAAATGTGTTGTTCCAGGCCTCAGTGTCATTCCGGGATGTGACTGTGGAACTCTCCCAGGAGGAGTGGCAACACATGGGTCCTGCTCAGAGGACCCTGTACAGAGAGGTGATGCTGGAAAACTACAGCCACCTCGTCTCTCTGGGTGAGCATATAAGCCTAACTTACCCTCGCAATGCCGGGAGAAGGCACTTCCTTTTTACTTACCATCATGTATAAACACCTAGCAAGTTTCATGGTATTTAGGATTTTCATTCAAGAATCCAAAGTAACTGAACTTTTAAGAGTACCACAGAGAATGTGTTGTCAGCTTTCAGTGATAAATTCAAATGTTACTTTGAGGATTCTGCTCCTGAAGCTATACCTTCTTCTACTTTTGGAAAACAGAATGCTCATGTATCTGGCCTAAGCCCTCAATTGTTCCGTATTCATAGGGTACTGCATTTTCAAACCAGAGGTGGTCTTCAAATTGGAGCAAGGAGAAGCACCTTGGTTCTCAGAGGAGGAAATTTCAAACCAAAATGACCCAGGTGAGTTACTGAACAGATCTATTTGCAGTAGTTAGACTCCAGATGGTCAGTTTACAAGTGAACACCTTTGTATCATGAAACTTTTATTAAAAGATCAAAGTTGTAAAAACAACTAATCAAAGGGAAATGATTAATAAATTTGACTCCATTAAAGTTTAAAACTTTTGTTTTAAAAGATATCTTTTAAAAGGGTAAAAGACCACAGAATAGCAGAATTGGAATATAGTGAAAGTAACCTAGATAGAGTAAGCTTCCTGAAAATGTAAAGGATTTCTATAAATCAGTGTGAGAAGAGGGAGACAACACAATTGAAAAAATGGGCATAAGGACTGGGACGGGGGCTCAGCGGTAGCACACTTGCCTGACGTATTTAGGCATTGGGTTCAATTCTCAGCATCACAAGTAAATAAATAATATAAAAGGTCTATCAACAACTATATATATATATATATATATATATATATATATTAAGAAAAATGGGCATAAGACTTTGAACAGAAAATATTCATTTTAGTTTTATTTATTTATTTATTTTTGGTGGTGCTGGGGATTGAACCCAGGGCCTTGTGCATTAGCGGCAAGTACTCTACCAACTGAGCTACATCCCAGCTCAGAACAGGAAATTTTTAAAGGGTCAGTAAATCTGAAAATTTATCACATTTTTTATAGACTGCAAAGTGAAATAAGAGATGTAAGATAAGATTGCCAAATCTGGCTATACCAAGTCCTGGTGGGGATATGAATTATGAGAGACCAGTATTCATAGATTGGAAGTGTAAACTTGTAAAACTATTGTGAAGTCAGGAACATGCCACCTAGTCTGGTTATGTTTTGCTTACATTATAAGCAAGCAAGCCCTTTGATCTCTGTACACCCTACCAAATGTATAATTGTATTCTCTAGTATATGTAATAATATTAATGGGAATATTGTTTATATTTGCTGAAATTTGGCTCATCAGCCACCGGGTAAAGAAATAACTGTATTTTTTAAGGAAAAATTATGTAGCCACATAAAATTCTGTGCAATGATTATAAAGATTAACCCAACAAAATATCAATACATACATATCACTGTAATGTTACACATGAAAGTTTCATGCACTTATGTATTATTCCATGCCATGTTAGCTTTTTTTGCTTTGACCAAAATATCTGATATGAACAACGTAAGGACAGATTTATTTTGGCTCAGTTTCAGAGGTTGGCAGACTGCATTGCTGTGGGCCTGAGGTGAAGCAGAACATCAGGGTGGAAGGGTCTGGCAGAAGCAAAGCTGTTCACCTCATGGCAGCTAGGAAGGAAATCAGAGAGTGGAATGAGCTAAGTTTTAAGAAATACCCCTCTAGGGCTTAGCCCAGTGACCTACTGCCTATGGTTTCCACCACCTCTCAGTAGTCCATTCAGGTACCAGTGAGTTAATCCCCTGATGAGATCAGAGCTTGTATGATCTGATCACTCCCCCAAAGCCCCTACCTTTGAATATTTCTCTGTTGGGAAGCAAGCCTTCAGCATATGAGCCTTGGGGGAAATTCCAGTCTAACCTATGATACTTAGTTTTAATGGGTGGAACGTGACAAGTTACATATTTTGCGATATAAATTACCAAGACAATCATTTAGAATACATAAAAAATCTGGACCTTTTTTATGACTTCTCTTCCATGATTCCTCATTTAAAATTGAACTCGTGTGTCACATTGAAATGTGGAAACTCAGGATGGAGTCAACTTCGCTTATTGTTGTGTTATGACAAAATTAATAAAAAGATGAGAGCCAGAATGGAACTGTGAATCTAATTAAGTTGCAAGAATGGATTTTCTTTTAATCAGTTTATATATTGCAGGGCTAGGGCTGTAGCTTAGTGGTAGAGGGCCTGCCTAGCATATTTGAACCTCAGCACCACATAAAAATAAAGGTCTTGTGTCTATCTATAATTTTTAAAAATTACATATGTACACACACATATATATAATTCATATATTGCTTGTATTTCTGTGAATCATAACTGTAAGATAGCTAAAAACTTCTTCATAATCATATGGAAATTGGTGCTGTTATACATTTACTATTGAAAAGTTGATGGAAATGAGTGATATCCAATTGGAAGAATTTAAACAATATAGTTCATTGTAGTCTAGGTGATATCTGCACCTAGCCTGCAATTTACTTCCCAAACCAAACTTTTTCCATATTGAGTCTATTTCATGTATATTATCCCAATTTTTAATACTCTACTGAAGTTTATAGTCTTTGTTGTATTCATTCTATTCTCCACTTTTTCTGAGGCCTAGTAACCACCCCTGTGAGACTATTTTCTATTTCCTTTCCTTTCTTTTATGTACTTAGAAAATACTCATTTACTACAAATAGTATTCACAAACAGTTTCCTCTCTATATTAATATTATTGTTAAAAGGCTGCACATATACATATATTTGAATTATTAGGTTTTGAGAACTCAGTGTAATAAAACAGACTATGTGCATAAACCCTACTCATAAGAAGTATTTACTTCATGTGTTCAATTTTTCTTGTTTTAGAAAATTGCAAAGTTGATGACTTGATCAAGAGTAACAAGAAAATCAAAGACAAAGACTTAAAACAGATAATATTCATCAAAAGTAAAACATTGACTAGAGAGAGAGGGGAAATTTGGGAGAAACCATTTAATCAGCACACAGCTCCAATTTGTTCCGCAAAACTGTCCTTCAGATGTAAATCATGGGGAGTGAATTTTCAAGATATTTCTGAATTTGTCCAAAATAATAGAAACTGTTCAACAAAGAAAACAGATTGCCATAATGTATGTGAGAATTTGCCTTTCAAAATTAAGTTTGGCAGAACTCATACTGGAGAGAACTTTTATGAATACAATAAAAACATGCAAGACCTCAGTTATAAGGAAACTCTTGAGCATAAGAAGTTTCAAACATTGGAGAAAGATCTTGAAGGTAATAAGATGGGAAAAACCTGTGAGAATGCCGACTTTGTTACATATAAGAGTTTTCACACAGAAGAAAATTCCTATAAAGGTGGTGAATGTAGGAAAAACCTTCATAAGATAACTCTTTTTGACCATAGACGAATTAACAGCAGGGAGAAACCCCCATGTCTTCACCAGTGTGGAAAGTCTTCCTTTGAGAAGTCATCCCTGGAGGAACACAATAAATATAACACTGCTATGAAGTATCATGAACCTAATGCCCCTAGACATTATTTCAGCAAGCAGTCAAACCTCATTCAGCCTCAGAGAACTGTTGCAGAAGAGAATCCATCAGTATGTATTGACAGAATACACACTGGGGATAAATCCTTTGAATATGAAAATAAGAGGTCTTATCAGACACTAACCTGCAAAGTAAATCAGAGAACTCACTCTGACATGAAACCCTATAGATGTAGTGAATGTGGGAAATCCTTTTGTCAGAAAGGCCATCTCATTCAGCACCAGAGAACTCACACAGGAGAGAAACCATTTGAATGTAATGAATGTGGAAAAACTTTCTCCCAAAAGTCCCACCTCAATACACATCAAAGAATTCACACAGCAGAGAAACCCTATAAGTGTAATGAATGTGGGAAGACATTTGTCCAAAAGTCAACCCTCAGGGGACATCTGAGAATCCACACAGGAGAGAAACCCTATGAATGTATTGAGTGTGGGAAAACTTTTGTTCAGAAGTCAACCCTCAGAGATCATCACAGAATTCACACAGGGGAGAAATCCTTTCATTGTAATGAATGTGGAAAAACTTTTGGCCAGAAATCTAACCTCAGAATACATCAAAGAACTCATAGTGGGGAGAAGACATACCAGTGTAATGAATGTGAAAAATCCTTCTGGCGCAAAGATCATCTAATTCAACATCAGAAAACTCACACAGGAGAGAAACCATTTCAGTGTAATGAGTGTGGGAAAACCTTTGCCCGGACATCAACCCTCAGAGTGCATCAGAGAATTCATACTGGGGAGAAACCATTTAAATGTAATGAGTGTGGGAAAAAGTTTGTACGGAAAGCAATCCTTAGTGATCATCAGAGAATTCATACAGGGGAGAAACCCTTTCAGTGTAATAAATGTGGGAAGATGTTTGGGCAGAAATCAAACCTCAGAATACATCAGAGAATTCACAGTGGGGAGAAAGCTTATGAGTGCAGTGAGTATGGAAAAGTGTATAAGTCAACTCTATGTCAGAGAACTCAGGGAGGAAGGAAACTCTATTGATAACTATGGAAAATATTTCTGACAAAGATGGATATGACAACAGAAGATATCCAGGAAATTCAATTGGAAATACACACATGCTAATAGTTCCAGAAATTAACCCTTACAGTACAACTGTTTACATAAGGAAAAAAACCAATGGATGTCAGCATAGGAAGAGTTCTGTCTAGAAGGCAGTGCTAAGATATATCAAAGAATTCACAAAGACTTCTGTTTTTTCAGAGGACAATACAAAGTCCTTTTGAATGAAGTCATACCCTTTTAGATAATTCATGCATCAGTCTGTTAATCTGTTCAACAGTAATTTTCATTTTATTTTTCTTTAAGGAACACAGCTAGTCTAAATTCTCTGAACTTCCCTTTCACCCAAGAGGGATTTGTGATAGGCTGCTGGAATGAGAATGCCTGTGATGTATGCCATAACCTGATCTTACAAATCAGAGGTCTTCCTGAGAAGCTTCCAGGGACCTGTAAGAATAAAATGAATGATTTCTGGGTTGTCATGCCTTAATGTGGCATAGCCCAAGGTAAGAAAGGCCAGCATGCCTGAATAAATTGATAAGAGAGAAGTTGTCTTCCATATCTTTGCTGGTGAAAAATATTTTGAGCAAAAATTAGACTTTATTCTATTGAAGTTTTGCATGTCTTGATGTATTTGTTTCTACATCTAGTTTAGCTCTCACTCTGTTAGGAAGGCAGAATATGAGTATGTAAACCAAGTCTAAGTCATCCAGAGGACACCAGCCTCATCAGAAGACTACTGGGTTGAGGAGTCTCTCCAGGATGATCAGAGAATTCATACAAAAGTCATCCTTTCCATATATTGAAGTAGATGGTATCACTTGATACAGTGTTGTAGATGAACCTGAAGTGTTGAGAGAGGAATTTTTGTTGGTTGATTTGGGTTGAATGGTGAACAGCCACCATACAGCTCAAACGAACTATTGTTGAATGGCATAAAACCACTTCCTTCAGTCCTATACCACAGCCTTACTCTTTAAAGATTAAGGTTTCCTTATCAGGGCTGGAAACCTGAGTATTCTAGGGTGATGTCTGGGACGGGAAAAGACTCAAATGTTTATGGCTTTATTGGATACAAGTGCCCAAGTCCACAACTTGCCAATTCTGATGGAGGTAGGGGCCCCTAGATTTAGCTAATATGGTTTGGAAGGGAAACAAAAGTAACTTGGTGGATGGAACTGTTTAGGCCATTGCAATCAATATACTGTGGTTACTTCTATATCTCAAAGTGTAGTAGTGCTGGGGATGTGGCACAGTGATAAGGTGCTTGCCTAGCATGTATGAGGCCCTTGGTTCAATCCCCCCATTGCAAAAAAAAAAACAGTAAGAATTAATATGGTATATGCTCTATTTCCCACAAGTCATACAAGGAATTCTCCCAGTCAGGAAGAATGGAATGTAAAGAAGAAAATCAGCTCTTAGCTTACTCTTGGGCTCTTTTACACAGTGGAAACCTTTGGCTTCAGTAGAGGCCTCTGCCTTAAATTCCAGTTTTGGGGTATGTCATCTTGGATTCAACAACTAACAAAATGAAGGTAGCCCAGCAAGCCTCAACTAGCGGATTGAAAACTGTTTAAACTGCAGATTCATAAGCCCACAGTGTCTTAGCTGTACATGAAACAGTAGCAGGCTTTTGTTAAAAGAGAAATTTATCTCCTACTTCATTACCTGAAACAAAATTTCTGGCTTAGTAGGGTCCTCAGTTTGTGGAGGTCAATCTAACTGGGCCTTGTTGGCTAACTTGAAAGCACTAGAATGCTATATCTGCTTAAATTTGTCTTCATATACTCCAAAATGAAAGTGGTCACTCCTCAGTGAACAGATCACAAGGATTTCTCCACACTGTCCAGTACTTCATTTCATAAACCCTGGCCTTACTCTTGGGCTTTTTTACACAGTGCATTCTGATTGACCCTTGGGCTCTTGCTGTGGCCTAGCTATTGTAAATTCCAATTAGAAACTATATACAGATTAAAGGCCCTCTGTGGTGTTCTGAACTGTGGCAGAAAACAGCTGCCGAGCACCCACAGTGTGCTCCACTAGATGACCATGATTAAACTGTTCTCCAGTGATGCTCAAGTGGAAGCAAGCTGCTGATCCAGTGGTCTCTCTTCAGATATTGTCACTTGTGTCCATCATTGTGCTGTTATGTGAGAACATTCTGTGTCTCACACTGGGCACAAAAGTCTGTGTATATCCCACGTTTCTATAGGTATCATTTGATGTAAGGATTTACACATTTTTTCCTTCTGAATGAATAGACAATATTCTATATACCATTTGGTTAGATAACACCTTTCTCACTGATTTTTTTCTTTTTTAAAAAAAATATTTTTATTTATATATGACAGCAGAATGCATTACAGTTCTTATTATACATATAGAGCACAATTTTTCATATCTCTGTATACAAAGTATATTCACACCAATTCGTGTCTTCATACATGTACTTTGGATAATAATGACCATCACATTCCACCATGATTTCTAACCCCCTGCCTTCCCCTCCCACCCCTCTGCCCTATCTAGAGTTCATCTATTCCTCCTATGCCCCCCTCCCTACCCCACTATGAATCAGTCTTCTTATATCAAGGAAAACATTCAGCATTTGTTTTTTTGGGATTGGCTGACTTCACTTAGCATTATCTCCTCCAACTTCCTCCATTTACCTGCAAAATGCCATGATTTTTTATGTCTTCACATATGAAATTGTCAGTTGTAAAGATATTGCATGTTTATCACCCTTACATTTGGTTTATCATTCCCTGTATTCTGTTACTTCAGTAAGATATTTTGTACAAACTAGGCTGGCACATACCTCATGAGCCAGAATACTCAATATTTCTGGTCTGATACTGACGGATATTTGAATCAAGTTTGGAAAATGAGAATTCTAGGACTTTAGAAATGGAGCATCATTGACCTGTGACATTGTAACTGAGTGGCCAGCAGCCTTGGCAAGGAAATGCATCTGCAATATAAGGTTACACATGAAGAGAAGCAGACAGGACAGGGAGATTGGCAGTAGAGCTATAGTTCCCAAGAAGCAAATACCATGTTTGTTCTTTATAAGAGTGCTAGAAATAAGGTCTTCCATTCTTTAAACTGTTGGGTTTTGTTTAGACACTTTATTTAAAAAGATATTTAAAATCATCTCCTTCTCTGCTCCCTTTTAAATAGAATATTTTAAGATCATGATTGGGTTTGCTGTTCAGAATTACGTACTCCCCAACCCCTAGATGGAACTAAGTCATCCAAGTGGCCAGGTAATGAAAGTCCCATGACTGGGCACTTAGGCCTTATCTGATGTCCCTTTTACACATAACACACCACCAATTAGAGATCATGGTCTGTGTTCTCATCTTGACTCTTCCTTTCCTCTCGCTTCCTGGCTCTTCTTAACAAGTTGGAAAATGAGAATTCTAGTATTATCTCAGGACCTCATCTAGTAAACCTAGAGATGTTTATTTCTTTGTCTGCCCACCTTATGATTTAAAAAAACCTCCATGAGGACAGGAAAATTGGGGGGGTGGGTATGATGTCTTATGCATATGAAACAGTCCCTTGATATATGAGACACTTGGAAATCTTTCTTGAAGATAGTTGCCAAAGGGAAATATGAACCTCTTTGATACTGTAAATTCTTTTTCATTAATTATTTTTTAAAAAGTGTTACAATAAGGTCCACATTCAACAATTTCTGTTTTAGATATTTTCTGCATTTACTAATTAAAAATGGTTTTAGTATTTAGAACTAAGAGTACTATTCTGATCTTTGTTGCACAAAACTTTTTAGTGAACTTAAAGATTCCCAATTCAAAGGTTTTTTTTCTCTATATCACTTTATTATTATTATTAAAATTAGTATTAGCAGAATAGACTGCAGTCTTCTTTATTTAGTTTGCTTTCACACAAATATTTTAGAGAGGTATACAAGCAATTTTGCAAAACAATTATAAAGGCAAAAATCATACTTTCTAAGGTCAACCAAATCGATTAGGGGGGGAAAAAACCTGCTGGGAATTATCCCGTTAGTCCATTTTATCAGTAGTTTCCTCATTTTTACTTCCCAAATCATTGCCCTGAATGGTGAGAAGTTTTTATTTTTCAATTTTGTCAAGTTGGAGATTAGCTCTTCAGAGAGAAGTCTGACCAGAAGAAGGGCCATAACATTTGGCCTACTTCCCTTTTTATCTCCTATAGTTTCTCATATTGAATGTCTCCTGTAGACCACAAGGAATTTTTTTCTCTCCACTCACCACAACAGCTTTAGACTTTTTTTTATTAGCTACACATGACATTAAAATGATCTTGGCAATTCATACAGTTGAATCATTGGAGTATAATTTCTCATTTTTCTGATTGTACAGATTGCAGAATGACACTGGTCATAGAGTCACCTATATACATACAGCAATCATAATGTCTATTCTGCTGCCCTTCGTGTCCCCCTACTCCTCCCCTCCCCTCCCATCATTTCTCTCTATCCAATCTAATGTGACACACTTTTTTTTTCTTTCTCCTCACAGCATCATACATGTACTCCGTATAATGAGGAGGGTCTCCTTCCATCTTCCGTGCAACACCCCTTCTCCCTCCTTGTCCCTCCCACCTCTCTTCCCTATTTAGTGGTAATCTTCTTCTCATGCTCTTCCTCCTTATCCCATTTTGAGTCACTCCCCTTATATCAGAGAAGACATTCAGCATTTATTTTTTAGGGATTAGCTAACTTCACTTCGAATAATCGGCTCTAATGCCATCCATTTCTCTGCAAATGCCATGATCTTGTTAATTTTTAGTGCTGAGTATTATTCCATTGTGTATAAATGTCACATTTTTAATCCATTCACCTATTGAAGGGCATCTAGGTTGGTTCCACATTCTAGCTATTGTGAATTGTGCTGCTATAAACATTGATGTGGCTGAGTCCCTGTAGTATGCTCTTTTTAGGTCTTTTGGGTATAGTCTGAGAAGGGGAATAGCTGGGTCAAATGGTGGTTCCATTCCCAGCTTTCCAAGGAATCTCCATACTGCTTTCCAAATTGGCTGCACCAATTTGCAGTCCCACCAGCAGTGTATGAGTGTATCTTTTTCCCCGCATCCTCACCAGGACCTATTGTTTGAATTCATAATGGCTGCCATTCTTGTTGAAGTGAGATGGTATCTTAGAGTAGTTTTAATTTGCATTTCTCTGATTGCTAGAGATGGTGAGCATTTTTCATGTATTTGTTGATTGTATATCCTCTTCTGAGAAGTGTCTGTTCAAGTCTTTGGCCCATTTGTTTATTGGGTTATTTGTTTTTTGTTTGTTTGTTTGTTTTTGATGTTTAACTTTTTTAGTTCTTTGTAAACTCTAGAGATTAGAGCTCTATCTGATGTTTGAGGGGTAAAAAATTGTTCCTAGGATGTAGGTTCCCTATTCACCTCACATATTATTTCTCTTGCTGAGAAAAAAACTTTTCAGTTTGAATTTGTCCCATTTGTTGATTCTTCGTTTTAACACTTGTGCTATAGGTGTCTTATTAAGGAATTTTGGGCCTGCCCCCACATGATGAAGATTAGGGCCAACTTTATCTTCTATTAGACACAGAGTCTCTGGTTTGATTCCTAGCTCCTTGATCCATTTTGAGTTGATTTTTGTGCATGGTGAGAGAAAGGGATTCAATTTCATTTTGTTGCATATGGATTTCCAGTTCTCCCAGCACCATTTGTTTTTTTAAAAATATTTATATACTTATTTTTTAGTTATCGGCAGACACAACATCTTTGTTTGTATGTGGTGCTGAGGATTGAACCCGGGCCGTACGCATGCCAGGCGAGCACACTACACATGAGCCACATCCCCAGCCCGTCCCAGCACCATTTGTTGAAGATGCTATCCTTTCTCCACTGCATGTATTTAGCACCTTTGTCTAATATAACGTAGTTGTAATTTTGTGGGTTTGTCTCTGTGTCCTCTATTCAGTACCATTGGTCTACCAGCCTGTTTTGGTGCCAGTACCATGTTGTTTTTGTTACTATTGCTCTGTAGTATAGTTTAAAATCTGGAATAGCAATACCACCAGTTTCATCCTGCTTAGAATTACTTTAGCTATTCTGGGTCTCTTATTTTTCCAGATGAATTTCATGATTTCTTTTTCTATTTCTGCAAGGAATGTCATTGGGATTTTGATGGGAATTGCATTGAATCTGTAAAGTGCTTTTGGTAATATGGCCATTTTAATAATATTAATTCTACCAATCCATGAGCAAGGTAAATCCTTCCATCTTCTAAGGTCTTCTTCTATTTCTTTCTTCAGGGTTCTGTGGTTTTCATTGTGT